TGCTCCTTTCCTTTATTACTCCCTCATACTTCATTGAAAGTATAATCCTCTCCAAGTCTGTGAATAAATGTGAACGAATGAATTCAGTGGGACCTATTTCCAGGTGCGTGGGTACAGTTTTGCAGCCCTTATCAAAAAGCCAGAGGCAGTTCAGCACCAATCAGAAAATTTGCGAGATGTAGGTGGTAATATTCAACATATTTTGGGTTGTCAAATTCCACTGTTAAATGTATCTGCAATAGGATGACTCCTGATAAAGACTACTTTGCCCACTCCATAAGTAAGAGGGATGCATGGAAAGAGCTTAGCTTTGATATAAAAGCAAGCAGGATATGATCTGGTGGCCCACTTGCCTTGTACAGTATCTGAAGTCTATGGGGTTTTTTTTTCTTTCCTGTCACATCTATTATATTCTCCCAATCCCTCCCATTAAATAAGGCTTCCCCATACTGAATCACACTGATTGTAGACCTGCAGCTGGATCCTTTCCTCCATCAATTCATTTTCACATCTATTTCATCTCTTTCTTTTATGTCAGGCTACCACTAAAGGTTCCAATATTAAACTTTTGTTCTCCTCCTCCCCCGCCCCAATGTCAGATGGGCATAAAACATGCAGATGGAGACATCAGATACATTTTCCATTTGAGATAAGACACTGGGGTGGAAATGTATGGTTTGCAGAATGCTAGCAGAGGCTGTGAAAGCATTTAGGGGTTATTGCAAACACAGAAGGAAAGTCAATGCGTGGAGAAGTTCAAGCAGCACAAGTTTAATAAGAGGCAGATAGACTAGACTGTCACTTCACTGAACCAAGGCAGATCTGTAAATGATTGGTCATTGTATAGTAGACAAAAACATAAGGTTGAATTAAGGGGCAAAATAGATATTATTTTTGTGGTTTTTATTTATATTAAATATAAATTAAATAGTCTGCAGCTCCACCCCTGTCAACCTCCCCCCTGCACCACCACCACCACCAAGTCTGGCCTCCTTCATGAAGGCCTTCAAACTCTCCCTTCGCCTTAGCCTTTGCCTGCCAGTTGGGCCAGCTTAGTTGCTTCCACTATATCAGCTATTGCACTAGTTGCAATGTAAATTGGTGGAAAGGTAGGTAAAGAAAAAGACAAAACAGAACACACAAAGATATGTAAAACTACCAAAACTTGCATCTGTATAATGTCCAATACCACTAAATTACAATGATCTTCAGATCTTCAGGAACTGCCTCCTACACATAATGTAGTTTTCTAACACTGGTGAATGTAAACTTTCTAATAATAATAAACTGTGCATCATATTTTGAAGGAAACTTCTCAACCCTACCCCAAGATATCACACACACATTATAGTACCAAGAGTCTTAACTAACAATGTATCATAAGAAAGATTGGGGGGGGGGAGGGGCAATATTATTTTTGTTGTCTAACATCTGTCTTACCATTTCTCTTCTATTAATATTTTTAAGCACTAAACAATGTTACAGACCAGTCTTTAAATATCCTACTCTTCTATTCCACACAGTTTTTTTTTAAAAGCATTGTGTTGATTCATCGTTAAGAAAACAGATCAATTCATCCAATTTCTTCCAGTTCCTCATGTTTCAGATTATTGTAGAATTCTTTCGTTTGTTGCAATGTTGTCATCCAGAGTCTACTGATACTGAAATAAAAAGACATTCCTTCCAATTTATCCCATCTACATATGTTTGTCTTCTTAAGCTTCTCTGTCAAGAAAGAACAGTCTCTTCTCTTCACCAATATACATCCTGGGATGTCCTTCTTTATAATAATCCGTGTTCCTTATCTCCATTGTGGCAATCATCTTGAGAATCATAACAAAAAAATGGTTGATCAAGATCCATGGGGAGAACTGCTTTGCTGAGTCAGGCTAAAATACCATCTAGTCCAGGTCAGTCAGCGTTTAGACAGAATCGCCTGCGAAGGTGACAGGAAAATCCCCAAGAGTTGTCAGGAATCCATTCAGATTCATAAGCCTCCAGAGGTGGACCATTGTAATCGGTCCCCCATCCCTGCGGAGGCTTGGAGTCCTAGTGAGCCTAAACCTGACTGGTTCATGACAACAGGACAGTGACCAGTTCCTCCATCACCACCATTCCATCCTGCACAGAAAACAAGGTCCAAAGTGTGTCCCGCAGCATGGATAGGGCAAGACACCATCAGAGAGAGACCTGTGGTTGTCATGGAGGCCATGAAGTCTTGAGCCATTCCCAACAGAGCAGTCTTACCATGGATGTTGAAGTCTTCCAGCTCTATTAGCTGCTGAGACTCCAATGCCAACTCCGAGACCAGCTAGCTCAGGAAGGGAGACTTAAGCAGTGGAGTGGGTGGTACACCAACAGAATCCCTATTATGTCCCATTTACCCACTTTTAGGTAAATACACTTGAACCCTGGTGACTGTGGGATGGAGAACCTGGTCAGGGGGGTGGAATCACAATAGACTACTGCAACTCTCAGACCTTGCCTGTTTTTGCACAGAGAATCCTGCTGGGCAGAGCTGAGATAAATTGTCCGGCCCAGTCTCACCCAGCCAGGTCTCTGTGATACAGACCAGGTCAGCATATTTATCCAGGATCAAGTCCTGAGTGACAGTTGGTTTTCCATTTACTGACCTGGTATTCAACAGCAGCATTTTCAACCTGGGGGGGGGGGGGGTAACCCTGATTATCCAGGCTATAAAATATAGGAGACTTTGGGGGCAATAAGCACTCTGTTTCTCTCCCCCATTTTGTTAGCATTGAAACCTGCCACATCTCCTCCTGCCCTGTAGGACTCTAATGGCTGCACCATGAATCAGAGGACTCCCCTCCTTAGAAACATACATCCCTCCTATAAGGTTAGGCTAACAGATGGCAAATAAAAAACTTTATATAAAACAGGCAGATAGATGTTATAATTCCACTGCAACTACTAGGCCAGTAGTGGTTCTCAACCTGTGGGTCCCCAGATGTTTTGGTCTTCCACTCCCAGAAATCCTAACAGCTGGTAAACTGGCTGGGATTTCTGGGAGTTGTAGGCCAAAACACCTGGGGACACACAGGTTGAGAACCACTGCACTAGAGGAAAAAAATAACTTAAAATCCAGTTTCTGCCTCCTGCAGAATTCTGGGGTTTGTAGTTTAGTGGTGCTGTTAAAGGCTCCTCCCTAAACTACAAACCCCAGAATTCTGCAGGAGGCAGAAACCGGATTTTAAGTGGATTTATTCTCTAGTGTGGTGAAGTAGTGGGATTTCTGGGAGTTGAAGGGCAAAACACCTGGGAACCTGCAGGTTGAGAACCACTGTGCTAGGGGATAGTGGGATTTGCAGTGTTGAAAGGCCCCTTTACAGTCCTCCGCCAGAGAGCTCTTGGTCCTCATTAAAGGACAAACTCCAAGATTCCACAAGATGTTGCCATGGCAGTTAAAGTGGAATAACAGTGCTATAATATGTATTGTCGAAGGCTTTCATGGCCAGAATCACTGGGTTGTTGTAGGTTTTTTTGGGCTGTATGGCCATGGTCCAGAGGCATTTTCTCCTGATGTTTCGCCTGCATCTATGGCAAGCATCCTCAGAGGTGCGGTCTGTTGGAACTAGGAAAAAGGGTTTATATATCTGTGGAATGATCAGGGTGAGACAAAGGACTCTTGTCTGCTGGAGCTAGGTGTGAATGTTTCAACTGACCACCTTGATTAGCATACAATGGGCTGACTGTGCCTGGAGCAAACTTTTGTTGAGAGGTAATTAGATGTCCCTGCCTGCTTCCTCTCTGTTGTTGTGCTGTTGCAATTTTAGAGTTAGGGAGGTCAGTTGAAACATTCACACCTAGCTCCAGCAGACAAAGAGTCCTTTGTCTCACCCTGATCATTCCACAGATATATAAACCCTTTTTCCTAATTCCAACAGACCTCACCTCTGAGGATGCTTGCTGCTTGCCATAGATGCAGGCGAAACGTCACGAAAAAATGCCTCTGGACCATGGCCATACAGCCTGAAAAAACCTACAACAACCCAGTACTATAATACTGTGGCATTGTTCTCGGGATGGGTGCTATTCCTTAACACCCGGAGGGACAGAAGTTAAACTCTGCTGACTTTGGGTCTAATCCAGGGCATGGGCAAACTTGGGCTCTCCAGGTGTTTTGGACTCCAACTCCCACAATTCCTAACAGCTGGAGGGCCCAAGTTTGCCCTTGCCTGGTCTAATCTCATGAGCTCAAACTACAGGAAAGGAGATTCCATCCGAACATGAGGAAGAACTTCCTGACTGTGAGAGCTGTTCAGCAGTGGAACTCTCTGCCCCGGAGTGTGGTGGAGGCTCCTTCTTTTGAAGCTTTTTAACAGAGGCTGGATGGCCATCTGTCGGGGGTGCTTTGAATGCGATTGTCCTGCTTCTTGGCAGGGGGTTGGACTGGATGGCCCATGAGGTCTCTTCCAACTCTAGGATTCTATGAGATACAGCACTATGATTGCACTCCTATTGTCATGGCAACACCCACAGAACATTGAAGCGGAATCATCGCGATTTTACAGTGCAGCGTGACAGGGCTCCGTGTTGTGAATCTGAAGGGCACTGCTTTCCCTGTGAAGCGCGGCCTCCGTGTTGCCACTCTGGCGCGCACGTCTACATTGCATTGAGCGTTTGGCCTTCGGTGCTCTTTGGCCGTCGTGGCCCCCTCCCCGCTTGGCTTCCCCTTGGTGTCCCCTCCTGTTCAGGAACACCGCCCCCCCCCCCCCTCCCAACAACAACACCACCACCACAGCAGGGCGCCTTTCAAGGACTCCCTCCCTGGAAGCCGTCCTCCCCCGCGCCTTGCAGCAGGAGCAGTGGCTGCGGACGCTACCATGGAAACGAAGGACATCGGGGGAAATCTCGCGAGGGGGCGGCGGCGAGTTCTCGCGAGAGCGTCTCGTGTTCACGGGCCTGGTGAACGGACGCCGCTGCTGTTGCTTGCTTCCGGGTGCGGGGAGAAGGAGGGGCGGCGCGTGAAAGAGAGAGCGCGCGCGCGCAAGAGGGAGGGGGGATTCGCTGCTGCTGCTGCTGCTCTTGTTCGGAGAGTGCAGAGTCAGCTGGGCGGCAGGAGGAGGAGGAAGAGGAGGAGGAGGAGGCAGCGCGCGCGCAGGAAGCAGGTGGGTTGCCCGGGCCCGGCTTGCCCTGCGGGGGTGGCGGCAATAGGAGGAACAGCCGCCGCTGCCGCCAGTGACCAAGGAAACCAACCGTTAGGGAGGTAGATTCCACGGCGGGAGGGAGAGAGGGGCGGGGGTGAGGGGAGAGAGAGAGAGGAGGGGGAAGGCAAATGGCGGTTGAAGGGCGCGCGGGCAGGGGTGAGGGAGGAGGGGGAGGCCGGTCCCGAGGCCAGCGGGGGGCCAAAGGGCGGGCGTTGCGGCAGGGATGGAGGCGAGGCGGGGAGGCCCTGCTGTGTGCGGCTTGTGCAGTGACCAAGTGAGTGAGGGAGGAGGCAGGCAGGCAGGCAGGGAGGGAAGGAGCCATGGCTGCTCTGCTCCTCGTCATCCTTCCGTGCGGAGGAAGAGAAAGAGCTGGGGGCGGGGAGGCGAGGCCAGGGAGCTCTCCGGCCCAGCTCCCTCCGAGCCACCGTACCTGGCCAAGGTGTGGAGGGCGGAGGGAAGGCAGCCAGGCCTAGCAGGCCTTGGGCGCCTGGCCTGGAGGTAGAGGGGCGTCCCACGCACAAGGGCAGGGACCAGCTCTTTGCCCTCTCATAGAACTCAATCCCCTCTTATCACCCCCTCTCTATGGTGATGATGATGATTATGATGATGTGTTGTCGAAGGCTTTCATGGCCGGAATCACTGGGCTGCGGTGAGTTTTCTGGGCTGTATGGCCATTCTTCCTGACGTTTCGCCCACATCCATAGCAGGCATCCTTTATTTCCCAACCTGGGCACAGCATATTATTTGAGAACACAGAAATGCTGGACCACTCTAACAACTTCCATGTCATAGAATCAAAGAGTTGGAAGAGACCTCATGGGCCATCCAGGCCAACCCCCTGCCAAGAAACAGGAATATTGCATTCAAATCACCCCTGACAGATGGCATCCAGCCTCTGTTTAAAAGCTTCCAAAGAAGGAGACTACACAGAGAAGCCATTGAAATCCACAAGCATGTGGACAATTTCAACAAAAAGGAAGAAACGATGAAAATGAACAAAATCAGGGTACCAGTATTTTTTTAAAAAAACTCTTAAAACACCTCTGACAACCTCTGTGGATGCCTGCCATAGATGTGGGCGAAACGTCAGGAGAGAATGCTTCTGGAACATGCCCATACAGCCCGAAAACTCACAGCAACTCAGAAACACATGGGTGTCTGAATTTGTGACACCTTTGTTTTCTGATGGTGCGGACTACACAAACTTTGTTTGTGCAAAATTACCTTCAGTGGGGTATAAATACACAACATTTGGAACTTCAGCATGACCAGATAGACTCAAATTGGAATATGAACAAAGAACAGCTAAGACGATGGAAACAGTTGAGGAATTGAACAGGAAGACATAGTTTTATAATTTTTGTTTATATTGCTTTTATGGTTTTTAAATGTATTATCATGTGGTTTTGTTTTTTGATTTTGTTTTGTTTTGTTTGCTTTTAACCAATGTATGTATTTTTATATGGCATCTAATTGTTGCTGATTTGTACGCCGCCCTGAGTCACCTTCGGGCTGAAATGGGTGGGATGAAAGTGACGTAAATAAAGAAATAAATCATAATAGGTTGCTGTGAGTTTTACGGGCTGTATGGCCTTGTTCCAAAAGTATTCACATCAATGGCAGGCATCCTTAAGAGGTTGTGAGGTCTAGGAAAGTGAGGTTTATATATCTCTGGAATAATGTCCAGGGTGAGATAAAGAACTCTTGTCTGTTGGAGGCAAGTGTGAATGTTGCCATTGGCCACCTTGATTAGCATTGAATGGCCTTGCAGATTCAAAGTCTGGCTGACACCTTCACCATTCACCACTTGGAGCCATGGAGGAAAAGAACTCAACAAGTTCCTGGACCACCTCAACAGCATCCATACAAACATCCAATTCACTATGGAAAAAAGAAAATGAAGGAAAACTGCCATATCTAGATGTCCTAGTTGTCTGCAAACCCAATCAACAATTGGGCCACACGGTTTACAGACACCTATGCACACAGATAGACACCTACATAAAAACTCCAACCATCACCCAAGTCAAAAAAGAAGCACAATTAAAGCCCTGGCAGGGCGTGCAAAAAGAATTTGTGACCCCACTTCCTCCAAGGTGAACTGAGCCACCTAAACTGGGCTCTACAGGCCAATGGATACTCCACCTCATACATCTGAAGAGCTGCAAGCCCAAGATGAGAGTAAAGACAAAAATCTACACATAGGAAAAGTGTTCTTACTATACATCAAAGGAACCACTGATCACATAGGGAAGCTGATGAAGAAACACAATGTACAAACGATTTACAGACCCACTAAGAAAAATCCAACAAATGCTATGTTCAGCAAAGGATAAGAGGAATCCTCTCACCTCTGCAGGAGTCTACCGCATACCATGCAGCTGTGGACAAGTCTACATAGGGACCACCAAACACATTATTTCCCAAAGATGAATCAAGGAACATGAAAGGCACTGCAGACTAATTCAACCTGAGAAGTCAGCCATGCACCTGATGAACCAACCTGGACACAGCATATTATTTAAGAACACAGAAATGCTTGAGCACTCTTAACAACCACCATGTCAGACTACACAGGGAAGCATAAAGATAGGACACTAAAGGAAGTACTAAATGTGTTGTTGAAGGCTTTCATAGCTGGAATCACTCAGTTGTGCGTTTTCTGAGCTGTATGGCCATGTTCCAGAAACAGTCTCTCCTGACATTTCACCCACATCTATGGCAAGCATCCTTTATTTACCAACCTGGGCACAGCATGTTATTTGAAAACACAGAAATGCTTGAACACTAACAACTTCCATGTCAGACTAGGCAGAGAAGCCACTGAACTCCACAAGCATGTGGACAAAACCATGAAAATGAACAAAATCTGGCTACCAGTATTTAAAAACTCTAAAATCAGGTCAATAAATAAAGAGCAACACTCTGAAAACGGGAATTCCAGAGAAGAATCAATCAAGGTTAGCTAACATCTCCCAACAAAGAATTCCCCCAGAACACCAATCAGCCAGGCTTTGAAGCTGCAAGACCATTAAATTGTAATCAAGGTGACCATTTGCAACATTCACACTTGCATCAAACAGACAAGAGTTCTTTCTCCTACCCTGGATATTCCACAGATATTCCAGAGATAAATAAACCTCACTTGCCTAGTTTCCAACAGACCTTACAACCTCTGAGGATGCCATAGGTGTGGGCGAAATGTCATGAGAGAATGCTTCTGGATCATAGCCATACAGCCCGGAAAACTCATCAACCTTTTATGATTATGTTTATTTATAACCCACTTCTCTCCACAAGGAGACTCAAAGCACCTTGCATTAAAAACATTCCAATATGATTTAAATCTACAAATAGAGTAACATTAAAACAGGATTAAATATCATTGGTATCTCCCCCTATGGACCAGCCCGTATGTTAAGATCTTCTGGGGAGACAAAAGACAGGGTCTTCTCAGTGGTGGCCCCTCAGCTGTGGAACTCCCTAGCGAAATCAGATCAGCACCTTGCCTCCTGTCCATTAGAAAAAAAGTTAAAACCTGGCTATGGGATCAAGTGTTTGGGGATTAGCACTGGGCAACATTCAGCTATGAAATGTATGGAATGGAATGCAATTTGGAATGGATTCTGGGTTACAATTTCAGGTCTACGTGCAAAGTTTAACAGTATATGTAATGCATTTATATGCCATTGTTTTTATAATATTTTGATTCTTTTAATGTGTATTGCATTCTGTATTTGTATGTTTTTATGTTGAATGTGGCATTGAATATTGCCAATTTGGAAGCCGCTCTGGGTCCCCCTCAGGGTTGAGATAGAGCAGGGTAAAATGCAGTAAATAAATACATAAATAAAATTTAAAAATCAGTAAAAACCACAGCAGCCCCTGACTGGGGATGTGACAATACACAACCTTTGAAGGTGTTTGGTTACATGGACTGCAGCATGCAATACAGTGGCATGCTGTATTGTTTTTAGCACTGTTCACCACTTTGAGTCCTATTTTTAAGAGAGAGAAAAGGGTTCCAGTGTTAACCAGAAACACCCAAAGGTGCACGGGGGGGGGGGGGGTATTCCGTAATGTGTCTATGCCACCTCTGAAGGTGCTTAGTTCTGTCCTAGGATGGACTGCAGTTCCCATGTAGACTAAGGAGCATAACCAGCTGAGGGGCATGATTTTTATAATATTTATTTATACCCTGTTTTATCTGCCCTGAAGGAAACTCAAAGCAGTTTAACATAAAAGTATCCGCATAAAAAATTAAAAATATACATATATACAAACATTAAAATATGATTAAATATGACCAGTATTTACAAATTCCCAGTTAAAAATCATTAAAACACATTCAAAGTTAAAGCTATAGGAACAGTAGTGATGTCTCCCGCCACAGCTGGAAGCCACCCATTTGGGGGATGGGGAAATGACGACTGCTGCTGCCATATGGGGCTTGCCTGGCATGCCTCATGTGATGGGCAGTGCCTGGCACGTGTGTGTGAGTGTGTGTTTCTCCTTTTGCCCAGTCTGCCTTTCTATATTGTTACACAGGAGAAAGGATCCCTTATACGCCTGGGCTATGATGTGTAATGTCAAACTTAGCCTAGCCCCTGCACTCTCCCTGGATTTGAATCCTGTTTGCTGTATAAACATGGGTCTCATCTAGGCGCCTTCTCTTATTCATGGCACCCTGGAATTCAGGTTAACCCTGAATGAGAACAGGATTAACAAGTTGCATGATTCCAAAGGTATTTAGAAAGAAATCATCCTTCAAGTCAGGTGCATCCTTGCGGAAACATGCTTACTTCATCTTAGATTCAAATATTTTACTTCCCATCTTTCAGAAACACATGCCCTCTCTTGCAGTAGCATACTGGGAATTGTAGTTCCCATTCTTAACCTAATGACACTAAAAGTTATACTGAATTGTACAAGTTGTCAGTTTCTTCAGTTATTCTCTGTGGCTAGCAGAAAGCCTCTGTACTTTCTAAATGTTTTGATTTCATCCTGTTCCACTAACTACCAGAAAGTTAGGGGATCATTTTTAGTTATCTTCACTGTTGATCTTTGTTCGTAATTGTATAGAGTGGGGTAACTAACATTTCCACCATAGTGTGCCCTCCTTGATCACTTTTGGAATCACAAGAGGACTTAGCGGAGGGATAAAAATTTGGGAGATGAGTACCTCTGTTTTTGATCTCTGTCCTTACAGCAGGAATGGGGAAAGTGTGGATGAGAGGTCACATTTAGTCCCCAAGCAGGCATGTAGCCGGGGGGGGGACGGGGACCCCTGCTTCAACTTTTTTTTCTTTTTTACTTTCTTTATAGGGGGTTGAGGGCTTCAGACCCCCCCCCCCCTGCAAATTTATCATGGTGCGTTTTTTCGCGAAAAGCGCGGCTAATGCCAGCTTGCATTATATTTAACTAGTCTATGTTTATCATATCAGCGATCTGATCACCATTACCTCGATATATACCCATATCGCCATGGAGCACAAGGGCTATATGGGGATAATGCATACAAAACGGTCCTTGCCTCAGGCTAATTAGACCCTACATTCACTCAGACTACAGCCCCCCGCCCCCCCTCCGCCAAAATACCGCCGCCTGCCCCCCCCGAAACTCATTAGCCCCCCGAACCCCCCACTGATTGAAAAAAATTCCCCAGCCCCCCCCCCCCCCCCACCCCCCACCCCCCCCCCCCCCCCCACCCCCAATTCCCCTCCACCCCCGCCCCCCCCCCCCCACCCCCCCCCCCCCCCCCCCCCCCCCCCCCCCCCCCCCGAAACGAAATCCTGGCTACAGGCCCAAGGCCCACTTTTATGGTCCCTGAAGCTCCCTTATAACCTTCAAAAGTTGCACAACCCTAAATGTTTTTTTAAAAACTTTATCAGACAACAGTTCAGTTGAAAACGCATTAATATAGTTCAGAACTAGCCACATGTATGATAGTTTACTATCCCCCTTCCAATATATCAAGGAAAAATGTGCCTAAGATGGAAACTTGGAGTAATGTGACAGTATTTCTGGTGCACTTAAAAAGCAAAAGGCCAACCCATTGGGGGGGGGGGGGGTTGACCTGTGCTCTTTCTATAGTTACCCACTTGTGCCTTACAGATTACAGAATGAACTGCATTGCATTGCATAGCATAGCATAGCATACAAGGTTTAGTTGAGGTCTGATGCCATGAAGTATAAAATGAAGGAAAAGGCACTTGCGATAGATTATATGCCCATGCAATATGTTGTCAATTTTTTAATGAGGGAGGATTCGTTCTAGTATCTCACAAGAACTATTTTATTTAATTGAAACCAAATAACCACTTCCACACCACCTCTGGCTCAGTTCTATAGTCCAGCCACTCTAGTGTGGAGGAAGGGGAATCTGGGCCTCTGCTTGCATTATGCATGTTGATGAGCCGGAGGTTGCAAATAACACCTTAGTGCATGATCTCTCTGTACTCTAGTTTCCAGATCTCAAGTGAGCAAATAGTTTTGCTGGAGAATCATTAGTGTTTAGCTCAAAATAGCTACTGAAGAACATTGTCCCCAATGTTTGGAAGACTTGACTTTTTCATGGAGTAGAACTCCTGGTGTCCATATTAATTGGGAGATACTGGAGAGTTTTATAAGTAATTTTTCCAGATGCTCCCCTAGTGTGGCTTGACAGCATGTTCGAGTGTCATAGCCATTATCCCCTCTTTTTGGTGTCTTCTTCAGCTTTGGGACTGGCAGCTGTAATGCTAGTGCTGGTCCATAGATACTCAGCTACTGATCCCCAGTTACAACCAACAGCCCCAAGTGGCACAGTGGGTTAAGCCCTTGTGCCAGCAGGACTAGTGGCCGACAGGTCAGTGGTTCGACTCCAGAGAGAGCGGGTTGAGCTCCCTCTGTCAGATCCAGCTCCCCATGTGGGAACATGAGAGAAGCCTCCCACAAGGATGGTAAAGCATGAAAACATTCGGGCATCCCCTAGGCAATGTCCTTGCAGATGGCCAATTACCTCACACCAGAAGCAACTTGCAGTTTCTCAAATCACTCCTGACACACACACACACAAACAAAACCCAACTTGCACAGGTCCCCCCTTCCTTTCTCAGTTGTCTTTGGTCCCAATTCTCTTAATGACGACATTTCTGGAAGAAGATAGCAAAACTAGACGGATTAAGAATCAACAGAAAACTAATCTTTAATACGTTCATTTAAGTTAACATAATGCGATAAATTTTCATATGAGATATAATTGTCCATAAGCTGCTTCTGTTTATCTGGTTCAGTATTTTTATTCTTGGATGTTATCTATGGCATTAAAGACTGCTTGTGTTTTCTGGAAATGCTTCTTGTGTTTTCAGCTGCGGAAACTTTTGATACTGTAAACCAAGGATGGAAATCATGGTGCCCTCCAGAAGTGCTGGGCTGCCTACAATGGCTAGGATGGACAAGAGTTGTAGTTTAGAAATATTTGGGGGACCCACAGTTCTCAGCTCCATTTAAATTAGATCCAAATTGAAATCTTGGTGCTTACTTTCAATTTAAACCTGCCTTCCTCATTCACTAATAAGAGATACGTGCATGATCCATTGCTTGGAGGACAAACAGGAGAAACAAACAAAAAAAAAAACTACCAGAGTGGCTACTATAGTATTGATTTAGCATGTGGATAATTTATTTTAATACATTTTTGGAAATACAAATTTTCCTACATGCCATTTTTTCAGTGTCTGTGTCTGTGTTTGTGGCAGATTTCACTATTATACTAAGAGCCTTTTAAGGCATGAGCAGGGAGATTATGGCCTTCCACATGATGGACTATAACTACTAGCATCCTTAACATACTGGCTGTGCTACAAGTAGTGTCACTGGAGATACAAAAGTTGAGATGCAGCCTCAGTGATAAACCTTTAAGTGGGAATAGTTGTCTGTGACCATGGAGGGAAAATCAGAGGAACAGCAAGGATTCTAAGGATCCATTTACCTTCTTTCGTACAGCTGATAAGAATGGTCTCCCAGTGATTGCCTGGGAAGACTTCATGAATGGAAAAAGAGTATGTCTATCTTTCTAGCTGTTGCAGGTGCAGTGGATGAATAACAAAATTGTGTAGGTGGACAAGATACTGTGAAAATATTTCAGAGCATTAACCTCTGTGGGTTTTTTTTATTTTCAAGGCTGGCTTAATGTGCAGAAAGAGGTTCTTGACTGCATGTTAAATGTAACATGCATGTGTGAATGAGCCATGACAGATGCCCTGCCCATGGAAATAAGCTTAATATCTCCTTATATCAAAACTTTCAAGTTTATTGCACACTTGGTGATATTGTTGCTGAGTGTGTCATTTGATGTCTTGTGTTTCAACCTGAGCCATTAAAAAGGTTTAAATTGGTGGGTATGATTGAAAGATGGGTAATTCAGCATATTTCGATGTGGAACCTGTGAGCAAAGTGGCAAGAGGGAATCATAGAACTTGCTAATGTAGAGGATGTTTTTGGACTCCCAGCATTCATCAGCTCAATCCAGAATAACCCATAGTTATGAATCATGGGAAGAAGAGGCCTTAATCTTCTTGGTGCACTGAGCTAGTGCTTTCACTTTTTCTGGGGTAGCACAACAGTGGCAAGAGAAGAGAGACAAAATATTTCAGTTCTGAAGCACTTTTTTCTTCAGTGCTTTATTGCATTCTTAAATACTACACATGCTGCCTTTTTTCCCTGCTGTCACCACCTACACTGACAGGCACCAACAGGATTGTGAGCATAGTTAACAGCATCTGAAGAGCTAACAGTTCAAGCGATAGCCCTCTGAATCCTTGGCTGGATAGTCTTGAAATCTGTGCTCTAGAAATGTTTAGCTTCCTGAGGCCTGTTAGGAGGAAGCATTCTTTCTCCATGTAATGATCATTTCTTTCTTAACAGGACTTGTCCTTTGACATCACCTGGACAGAAGAACCTGCAAGGTTGAACCTGCTGCCATGGGGAACATTTTTGGCAACCTGCTGAAGAGCTTGATTGGCAAGAAGGAGATGCGTATCCTTATGGTTGGACTTGATGCTGCTGGGAAGACCACCATCCTCTACAAGCTGAAGCTGGGAGAGATCGTCACTACCATCCCCACTATTGGTATGGTTTCTTAAGATGAATTGTGGAACCTGTCTTCTCCTGAATTTCTTTTTTAAGATTAAATTGCAGTCATATGATGGTTGCATGATGGCCACTTCAGGTCACCAATGTAAGCAAGCACCCAATTTCCCCAGAGACATTTCCCGTCCTACCTTTCTTACTGCACCTGTCGTTTAGTCCCAGTTCTTAGAAAACTGTGAGATGGAAGTGGTCTAATACATTAAAACAGGTTCTCTGTCATTGTACTAGTCTTTTCCTGTCCTAATGGGAAGCACACAGCAGGCTCAGTGAGTATGACTCACAGAACTGGGAGCAGCTATATCAGAAGTGAAACTTAAGCACACACATGTACCCACACAATCCTGCCTGCAGTGTCAGTAACTTGTCCAGACTTGATTTATTACTGGCCTTCCAAGTTTCATTTCCAGCTTTGGAAGGGGCTATGTTTAGAGCAGAGTCTGCAGCTGGGAAAATTCTTCTTGTACTGCAGCTCCCAGAATTGCAGTTGTGGGATTCTGGGAGTTGTAGTTAAAAGCCAAGTAAGGAATATTTCTGAGTTCTGGCTTAGTGTTCATCTAAGAAGTGAAGTTCTGCTTCAAGTTAAGAGTGGAATTGAATGCAAACAGTAAACCAAGATGACTATTAATCCAGCCCTCCAAGCATATTCTGCCAGTTATCCTAAAGGACATGAGGAGAGCCCTGCTAGGTCAAACCCCATGGGCATCTAGTCTGGATTCTTTCTTGCATTCGTGTCTATCCAGTTTTTTTTTCCCCCTTGGAGTAATACAAGAAAAGAGATGGAGGCTAGTCCCCACCTTCTGCTGTTCTTATCCCTCAAGCAGTTATTAAAAGAAATATTGCATTACAAATTTGAGACTACATTTCAATCATTTTGGGTATTTGCTTTGAAGTTCATTCTGATCTCTGTATTACAACGAGATTGTCAAACTGATTTTGTCTGAGGGAGTTGGAAGAAAACAAGTTAATTTTACAGGTGCAAAGAGAACTTTGAAAGCACTGCATTGTCCTTTTTTCAGTGGCTTATAATTTAGAAAAAAGAGAAAGCTAATGATATTTACAAGCACATTTAAATGCACACTTTTGCTGTGCAACTCTTGTGCTTTGACAAGATCGTCCCAGGACCCTTTGGAAGAGAGTGGATTGCCTGGCTGTAGTCTTTCATGAACTGCATATCCTACTTCTGTGGGGTTATGTTGGACATGGGGATTATTATGAGGAATATGCACAAACACTAGATCCCATGGTTACTTAAACTCCACTGCTGATCCATAACTGAGACTCAAACTTCAGAAATGATACATTTTTTCAGTATGTTCTTTAGGACCGCCCATAGAAAGAGCTTGATAATGAATGCTGAAATTACAGAACTTTTTAAAAAAAATTGCAGTTGTCAGCTTAAGAACTTCCCCTTTCAGTATCATGCTAGAAACTGGCAAAAAGGCAAAACAGGCCTGCCAATCTAATCTTGAAGCCTAGTACACCTCTATCCATATATTGTCCTGGAATGAGTCAAACTGACTACAAGCTATGTAAGATCTACTGTTGATTCCTCCCCTTTGGTATCTTTGTATATTCAGTTATTTTTTACTCCCTTTAGACTCCCACGATAGCTGAGTTCCCTGCTGTGTGGAACTTACTAATGAACGTGCTCCTTTTTTTTCAGGATTTAATGTGGAAACGGTTGAATATAAGAACATCAGCTTCACTGTATGGGATGTCGGTGGCCAAGACAAGATCCGGCCCTTGTGGCGGCATTACTTCCAGAACACCCAGGGTATGATAATGTATTTTGATATTCAAAGAGTCTTCCTTTATTCTCTTCACACTGCCCTCCTTTTATGCTAGCAAGTGTTTGTTTTCATTTTGGAATCAACAGCCTGTGAACTCATTTGAAACACTCTTGATGTTTTTTCAGAGGTAAATCAATAGAATACATGATTAACTTTTACCTCTTTTCATCCCAGGAGAAGCAGTCATTTAAATCAGGAGTTGGCTAGGTGCAACTGACCAGCTATTGTTTGATTACAACTCCCAGAATTACTTACCATTGGTTCAGCTCACTGGGGCTGCTTGGAGATGTAGTCCAACAACATGTGGAGAGCCACACATTTCTTACCCTCTGTCCCCCCAAAAATGTAATTATATGTTTGCAGTGAGAAAAATCAAAAGAAATATATTTGAAAAATCTGGGACTTCTTTTATTGTGATGATCTTGGGCATGGCTGAGGGTCCGATTATGGAGTTAGCAGAAACTACATGGGAGTTAAATTAAGGTTAAAATTGAAGTGTCCTTGCTAAGTAAAAGTGATAAAGAAACTGGAAGGTTCTTGTTGAATGCTTCGGAGTAGAATACAGTCTAGTGGCTGTAATTCTGCAAATCAGGACAGACCTTTTAAATAGTCAACTCCTGTAGTAAATTAAGAATTCGCTCCAGTTGTTTCCCACTCTGTCAAAAATGTAGTAAAGACATATTATTAAAAGATCTATTAACTTTGAACTATTCCAGACCAGTATAGTATGACTTGCTTCAGATTGAGCTGAAAGCAATGCTGGACATCTTGCTCCATGGTATCATTTCCAGCCCTACATGTTAGACATCTGTGGTTTACCTGACATTGCACAGATTCAGAAGCAATCAGTGAGCCTTCTGTTTCTTAGATTCACCCTGATTCCATTCTTGTTAAAGACATACCATCAGTGATCTAAAAGCTTTGGTTTAATTCACAGTTTATAAATTTTGTTTTACTTATACATACAGTCCCTAGGTTACAGACAAAATAGGTTGGGTAGGTTTGTTCTTAAGTTGAATTTGTATGTAAGGTGGAACAGACACATTTTTAAGTGTAACTCCAGACAGATGTTAGTCTTAACATACTATTGATTTTTTATCTGTTTATGTAAATGCTTAAACATTTTCAAGTACTGCAATGTGAGCCACTGCCACCACATTTGTATCTAGGAGTGGGATGTAGGTCAGATGTTCTTGGGGACTGTCTGTAATCAGATAATATTCATGGACTACGAGAACAGTTTTAAACTTCTGTTTTCGTTCAGGCCATAATGCTAAACCTAAAATTTTAAAACCAGGACAATGCAGACATTTATATTTTGTAGGGAAATACAGTAATTGACAGTCCATTAATATTAATTGCTGAAAGAGATAGTAAGAGAGTGCTAACATAGTTGAGGAACTTTGGTTTTTTCCATCTTCAATAGATTGCTCTTCTTTATTAGAAAAGATGTTCATTCCTTCATGTTCCTGGGTGGAAACACATATTCCTATTTCCACCAGAAAAAAAAGATTGTAGATTGGTTTGCATCTTTGCATGTCTTGATTGCTGGAGCTTTTAAATGTTTCTGTCCACTGTAAGCCTAGAGCCCCTGCTGCCCCATTCTTTTATGGTTCTAGTGTAGACAAATCTGAGTTCCAATTTGTTTTTTCCTTGTGCCCTGCTAGCAAGAAGCCTCTTTTTGAGCCACATGCACATTCTGCCCACCCCACCCCCACTTGTGTCAAGCCTTTTCTCCTCTTTCAGGTTTGATCTTTGTGGTGGATAGCAATGATCGGGAGCGAGTGAATGAGGCCCGTGAGGAGCTAATGAGGATGCTGGCAGAGGATGAACTGCGAGACGCTGTTCTTCTTGTCTTTGCTAATAAGCAGGTGAGACTGGGAGAGAAGGGGTGCTTCTTAGCCTTGGAGACTTAAGGTGGGGGGCTGAGCACATTTTTGTGCAGGTCTTCTCAAGAATTGAATGTAGTCTAACTTTATTTTCTTGTTAGGAAAGGGAGGACTTTCTGACATAGAATTTTGGAGAATTTTTTCCTATGCTGGGTTTATGATAGTAGTGCTACTTATTGCCTTGTCAAGGCAAGGAAAGTGTAGAATTTGGACTGCAGACTGCATGTGGTTCCTAGTCCCAATGAAAGACGGGAAGAAGCTCTTCCACAGTGCCTTCTTCAGGCAAAGGGTCACACTGTATACTATACTAGTCTCTCACTGTTTTTAACCATTTTTGGTTAAATTAAACCTAAAGAAGGATGGTCCTCAGGACTTCTGCTGGCACCAAAAATGGCCCTCTGCCTTACTACAATTCTTCAGTCCATTGTAGAGGAAGGAGAGAAAATATGTAGTTACCTAGATGTTATTGGATTCCAGTTCACATCAGCCCTAGCCAGCATAGCACATGATAGTGGATGGTGAACATTGTAGTCTAGGGATGTATAAGATGCGCACATTCTAGAGAAACTTGATCATGGGCCAGTATTACCACATCATCTCTGAGGGCTTGTTAAACAATGTTTCCTTTCTTTCTCATAGCTAGACTACCCATTGCACTGAATAGCTGATACTAAGGGAGATAGAATAGCCCACATGTTACAGGTTTATTAGTTGGCATCACATACTGTATATAGGTGAACATCTTTCTGTATTGTGATTATCAATATGAAATAATCACCACATACCTCCATGCTCATGAGGTACCTTAACATCCACAAAGCCCCGGAGTGTGTACTGAGATCTGCCCAGTGTTGATCAGAATTTTGAAAAGAATGAATTTTCAATTCCAGTGGCAGAAATAAGTAACCTATAGCCCTGAATATGTTGTCGTTCACTTTCCATGATCCACTGTAATTGGCTGTGGAAGTTGTAGTCCATCAAAATTTGAATTGTTTCCTGTTCCCTAGTATTGAGATACGATAAAAAATCTAAACAAGTGTACAGAGAAAGGGGTGGTTGTTTTTGTGTCCTAATATTCCTGACTGCCCACTCAATGATGTAGAAGTTTGGTAAATACTGAGATATAATTGTCTGCATGTTGTAATTGATACTGAATTTGGGACCTGAATTCTTCCTCTCAGAAAAGACCTTTCCTCCCATTCATGCAATAAGATTGATGGTGTAGTAGATATGAAACAGACATAATACTGGTAGGTTAGCTGAAAGGTAAATGTGCTTTTGCTTCCTCCCCTAACTGTACTGACTATTGTCCTCAAAAAAAGAACCTAGACACTTCTGGTCCAGGCTGTTTGGCTGACCGCATCCCTTTGTATGAACCTGCTCAGGACCTGAAATTGTCAGGAGAGACCCTTCTCTTGGTCCCACCTCCATCTCAAGCATGGTTGGTGGGAATGTGAGAGCGAGCCTTCTTTTTTGGTGGCTACCCCTCGACTCTGGAACTCCCTGGCCAGGGAAGTCAGAACGGCCCCCTCCCTGCTGTTCTTCCAACAGCAGGTTAAAACCTTTTTATTCAAACAGAAATTGTTAATGCTGTTTCTGTTTAATTCTATTTTAATATTTTTGTATTTGTATATTTTAAATTGGATACCAATGCTTTTACGTCAAGCCTCTTTGAGTCCCCTTTGGGGAGATAAAGTGGTGTATAATAAATATAATAATAACAACAACAACAACAACAACAACAACAACATATAGGGTGAACAGAAGTTGTGTAAGCCTTGTTTCCAAAGCTGTTTTCCAGAGTTTTGTATTCCTGAGAGGGATTGTGGCAGACTTAGAATATCAAAGAGCCCTTGCAAGTGTTCTCTCATGTGTCCTACGTCTGTCATTTCTGTTTCCCCTGCAGTTTCAATGTGTCCCTACTCCCTAAGCTACAGAGCAGAACCAACATTCATTGTCAATAGTTGGGTGGACTGCTATAACCTGTAGTGTGGTCTTGTGTGGGAGACTGTATTCTTCTGTGCTTCAGTAAAGGAGGATTGTATTAGTTGTGCTGAAGGAAAATGTTTTCAAGTACATTTGCTTTCTCAATACATGTTGCTATTGTGAACCAGCAGCTCCCTCCCTTCTTCTTGCATATGCATATGTGGCCTCACCACCCCCTTATGTCTATAATTTTTGTTTGATAGTCAGGGTTCTGGATGTTCTATGTAACACATAGCTTGGTACTGGGTGGAGAATTGAGTGAATTAAAATTACTTATTGTAATTATATATGTAATTCTATGAAAGAATAAATATTATAAATATTCAAAAGCCAGATATGAGCATTCTGTCTATCTCTTGTTTCCTCCACTGGGCTAGCAGAAACAAATTAAATTATAGAACATAGAAACAATTTCTAAACAAATTATCAAAATAGTATTTTCTTGAAGCATTTCTATACTATCCTCCCAACTTCAGTTTTAAGGAACCACGGTGGCACAATGGATTTATAATAACAACAACAACAACACAGTCCTAGACGCTTGGGAAGTGTTCAACGTGTGATTTTGTGATACAAAATCCAGCATATATATCTTGTTTGCTGTGATATACTGTGTTTTTGTGTCAGTAAAATAACAACTGCTGTATCAACAATGGCAAAATGTGGCGAAAAGAGTAGGTAGATAAATGCTTTACTCACTACCCTACATGACTAATTGGTCAACTTATCCTGGATGTAGGTGTTTTGTCACAACTGCTTTGGTAAATAGTGCTTCCTTGTCAATGTGGTAGTGTATGGAGAGCCCTGACATGAAATCTCAGATTGGGTGGACGCTAATGTGGTGTAGCTCCTAAAGTCTAGGAGCTAGGATATGAAAGATCCAGGTCCAAGCCTCCACTGAGTTATGAAACATGCTGGATGACCTTTGATCTGTTTCACTCTGTTTCCCATGTCTACTTCATAGACTTGTTTCAAAGATAAAACTAAGAGGCAGTAGTGAGCTATTTGAATGAGTAGACATTGAAGCCATTGTAGGATATGAATGTAATAGTATTTATTTATTGTATCAGAAGCAAACCGATGTTACAGTTGTAATGCATTTTTAAAAAACACAGTTTAAAAATTAGGCATTATACTAAATTTCATTTGAGCAGTAGCTGGCCACTTGGAGTGCCTCTGGTGTTGCTATAAGAAGGTCCTCCATTGTGCATCTAGCAGGGCTCAGGCTGCATTGTAGTAGGTGGTCTGTGGTTTGCTCTTCTCCACATTTGCATGTTGTGGACTCTACTTTGTGGCCCCATTTCTTAAGGTTGGCTTTGCATCTTGTTGTGCCAGAGAGCAGTCTGTTAAGCACCTTCCAAGTCGCCCAGTCTTCTGTGTGCAAGTGTATTACATGTATAAATGTAATAATTATTTAACTGTTAATATTTAGTAGTATTTTTTCAATCAAAGTGTGGTGGTAGTGAGGTGTTATATGGCCTTCCATTAGTATGATTTCCATGTACTGTGTTTCCCTATAAATAGAAGGAGCAAAATAAATGATTTAAATCAGAAGATACCTGCAAGCTTTCTTGGAGTACAAATTATTTTTATTTACCCAAAAGAAATAAAGCCCATTCTATTATAGACATTGACTACTATGGAAAGACCTGACAAAGAGGCTGAAATAGGACAGAAGAAGTATCCTTTCTTGGATGACCAAATAGGCTAGCAACAAATAGATCCAACATCATCAGCAAAAACTAAGCTTCTTTCTGTCAAAGGTGCATCATGGGCATGATAAGTCTGGCCAGATCAGGCTTTCGAATGGATACCTTTTTCCCCCCAAAAAAATCCATAATCTGGAAATAATGGCCAGTGATGAGAACTGTATCCCCCAGAACAAAACTTGTCCAAGCTTTGGCCAGCATGGCCATGTGTATGGTATCCACAAATGCTTCAGCTACCATGGAAAAACTAGCTAGTGACTAAAAGGAAGAATCGGTGACTTAAAGTGCATTTGCATTTAATAAAGAGCACTTTTTCTTTTTTTCTTTTGTTTTTGATTGAATATTGAAATAGCAGTAAGTCTTGGGATAGGGCAAATGTGTCCCTTGAACCATATTTCAACCCTCAGAACTTTGAAAAGTCAGCTGGATGTTTTTCAAAAAGTATTTAAAAACTGTGGTCTGGTTTAAAAAGTGTCGATATTTTCACCCCCCAGAGTTATGTGGAACCTTTTGGGCAAAACATTCTACTTTTAAAAAAAAGTTTAAAGTTTTCAAAATTGGGTGTGGAGGGGAATGAACCACGAAGGTCCCATAGGTAGCCAGTGCGGTCCCCCATTTCCTGATCATTGTGCACCTCTGTCCTCCTTCTCATCCCTTCTTGTTTTTTCATCCCTCTTCCAGGACCTCCCTAATGCCATGAATGCTGCAGAAATCACAGACAAGCTGGGCCTACACTCGCTGCGTCACCGCAACTGGTACATCCAGGCCACCTGCGCCACGAGCGGGGACGGCCTCTACGAGGGCTTGGATTGGTTGGCCAACCAGCTGAAGAACAAGAAATGAGTGCAGGAGGAGTGGGGCTCAGCCCCTGGCTGTGGGTTCCAGTTTGGGTTGGTCTCCCCTCTCCTTCCTGCGCTCCCCCCAGTCCTCCCCTCCCTCTCCTTTCCCTGTTGGGTTTGCTTTTCCTCTCTGGCGGCACCGGTTGCTGTGGGGGTGGGGGCGGGGTGGGATGGGGTGAACTTTTGGTTTCCTTTCTCTCTCTCTCAACTTCTCTTGTTTTTTCTCTTTATTTTCTCATGTCCTGGCTCTGCCAGGAGTTTTTTTGCACGGTCTCTGTGTGTGCGCGTGCGTGTGTGATAAATATATATATAGAGATAATAAAATATATGGGTGTGGTGGGAGGGGTTGGGGCAAGTGGGGGTTGGACGCCGATTCTGTGGCCTTTCTTTTTTTCCCTTGTTTTCTTTCCCCCTTATTTCCCTTTCCTTTCTATATTTTGTTGATCAGTTTGTATTTCCTTGGTGGTATGTGAAACTTGGCACACTCTTTAACTGGAGGGGACCAGAATTCAGTGGCAGCTGTTTTTCTTGCTTTCTTTCTTGTGCTGTTAGTGCAGAGTAGAAAGGAGGAATCCAGGGCTAATGATGGCAAAACTGGGGGCCATATGCTGGGGAGGCAGAGATGGTGAATGCAAGAAGTGGGGATGGTCTCAGAAATCTAGCTGCTGCAGATGAGGAAAAGGCCCATTACTTCTTGATGGTAGCATGTTGGAGTGGGAGGGATGCAATGAGTTCCACCTAATTACAACCCACTCTACCCCAATAAAAAATTACACATTTCTTTCTTGCCTTGTGTTTGTATTCAGCAGTGCCCTCTGCTGGCAAGAATGATATTGCAGCAGTATGGAGCATTCTTTATTGAAACTTCCTGCCTCCCCATCCATTGCCTGTTAACAATCTCATTAGTGACGCATGTGGATAGCAACTCTTGGCGCTGCTAATAAACTGAATCGCTTGCATTCCAACCTTTTTTGACCATATGGCACCTGGGGCCCTCCGTAGTTTGCTTCTCCTCAGCCTCTTGGCTCTTTCCATTCCCCCATAGAATTAGACCAGCATTTATTGGGCATTGGCATGAGCTGCTGAGAAGGTTTGGGACCAATGCTGTGAACAGCTATTGTACAAAACTCCTTCCCTGCTCTTTCCTGTCACAAGATGGACATGTCAGCACCTTGGCTGCTAAATAGTTCCACCAACCTGCTCTGCCTTCCCTCTGGAGGCTTCCTAAGGGCAGAATTTCATTGCTGCCTATATATGTGGTGTTATCCCTTAAGACAGGTGACTTTCCCCCTCCTTCCCCTGCCCTGAGATATAACCCTGGCTCTTTAAAGGTTTGTTTTCCATGTTGGGGAAGTGGAGGAGTCTTTTTCCTCCCCCCTTTTCATTATTTGGGGGGGGGGGGTAATGATTGTATTAGGATCAGACCCAGTTCAGTGCATGTAACTTTCTGGTCACTCCCTGCCTCTGGACAGTGTTGGTACTGTGTGTTCCCCTTTCCCTATTCTGGCAAATATGTATTGACTTCTCTCTCTCCATCTTCCTACCTCCCCCTTCCCTCTCCCACCCTCTAAATTAATCTTCAGCTCCTTTGGCTTGGTGTAAAGTGATTTACCTTTCCCCTTTCTTTCTGGTTTTGTTCATTCTCTGGGCCATGACTCCCTATATGTGTTTTTCTTGGCCCCCCTGAACAGTTGGATGCACCATGACCTCTGTGCACCCCTATTGGATATTAAACTTGTTTTATGTAGATGCTGGCTCCAGTGTCATGTTTTGCAGACATTAAGGAATATGCTGTGTGAAGTATCTCTAAAGACTGTTTCATTCATTCCTGTCATCAGGAAACGGCATTCAGGAATTACTGTGTGAAGGAGCATGTGTGCACTCACATATACACAGGAGTTCAGGTGAACCAAATAGCCCTTTAAAAAATGGAGTCTACATCTCCCCAGTGCTGAACTGGGGTTAAAGAGGGTTTTTGGATTGCTCAGGAGGGCTTAGGTAGCATTCGGGGTCTGGGAGTGAGGTTCTGCATTTCAACACTTTACCAAAGAAAGAGATTTTGTGCTTTTTCTCCCACCTCCTGAGTAGTGTCTCTGTGTTTACTGATAACTCATTTCTTTACAAAAAGACTTTCCCACCTCGATGTCTCTCCATCTGTGCCTCCACCCCTTGCCAGCTTCTCCTTCGCATACATGGCTTTCCTCTTGGTTCAGGTTGCTGTTGCTAGCCCAGGTCTGGTGATGGACATGTAGGCGCTGACTTTAATTAGAAACAGCTTAACTGAGCTGCACTTCTCTCTGAGGAGGGGGCGTCTTTGATCCAAAGTGGCGTTTAGCCCCCTCCCTTCCTGTATTGAAGGAAAGATATTGGATGAGCAGCTAAATCCCATTAGTTGCTAATCCAAGAAAGGGGTCCTGCCCACCCTGATGACATTGGATTGGGCTTTCCGTTCCGCTCCATGCTCTGAAATAAGAAGAGAAGGCACCAGGGCCTAAAAAATGCTTCCCACACCCCCAAAACCCCTTGTTCACATAAGTGCCTTGTCTCACTTTTTTGATACTTGTGAGAGAAGACGTTTATTGAGAATGACTGAAAGGGGAAGGTGGCTTCTGTATTCAGTCTGTAGTCTTACAAGGCTAGGCATTTAGGTACCACTCCTTCCCTGCTCATTGGCGATAACACAAGCATGGGAAACTGGTTGCCAGGCCCATGGGAGTACCGTGGCCAACTTTCACAAGAACCTGCCAGATGTCAGTTAAAGCAGATGCCAGTTTAATCTCATCTGTTCTGGCTAAGCGGCAGATTTCCATAGTCTTGGTGAGAAAGCTCTTTCACATTTCTCTGCTATAACAGAGATCAAATTTGTAAACTTCTGCGTGTAAAGTGTGGTGTGCTCCAGGAACTATGTGATGTGTCTGCTGGAGCACCCTCATGCGTTGTAGGGAATTCTCAGGCATTTTTGTGAGCACTCTGTTTGTCAGTCAGTTTCACAGGATTGTAGAGTTGGAAGGAGCTTCACATCCCATCAGTCCAACCCCCTGCTCTACTAGGATCTCCAACTAGAAAAACCCCACCACCTCATAGAAAAGCATATTGGGAGTCCTTTTGAACTCATCCATTATACTGGAGCCCCCAGTAGCACAATGGGTTAAACCCTTGTGCCAGAAGGACTGCTAACCGACAGGTCAGCAGTTTGAATCCGGGGAAAGCGGATTGAGCTCCCTCTGTCAGCTCCAGCTTCCTATGTGGGGACATGAGAGAAGCCTCCCACAAGGATGGCAAAACATGAAAACATACAGGCATCCCCTAGGTAACGTCCTTGCAGACTGCCAATTCTCTCTCACCAGAAGCGACTTGCAGTTTTTGAAGTTGCTCCTGACACTCACACACACACACACACACAAACCAACAGCATACTTCCTAGTGTTGGCACATTACAGCAAAGATAGTTTATAATGATAGACAAGTTGTCTTGGTAGATTTTTGCCATTTAGTGATACCAGCCTGACAACTACTGAAGTAGAAAAAAATCTGGTTTTTTGGCAGCCTCATTGGAGTGAACCTCTTAGAGACAACATGAGGAAATTGAGAAACTTTCCATTCCCTTTTCTCAGGTCCTCTCAAGCCTTTGCTAATCCCATCCTTTGCCACACACTATAGCCATTGTTTTAACTTAAGAGGATTCGTAAGAGCATGAACCTTTGCTGTCCTGTATAGAAGTTGTGATTACTTCTGTTTTGGGATCTAGAAACAAAACATAGGTATCTACTTTGGAGCCTCCTCCATTGCTCTGCTCATGCAGCAAAAGAGGTATTTGCAATGTTACAAGCATTATAGCGTATGTACTATTCACATTTGTGTTGTAAACCTCTTTAAAGTAGCTTCAAGTTTCATAAGGAAAACTAACTGCAAACATTACATTTCTCGATTTCCTACTGAACCCTATTGTCATATATTTGTGTTACATTCCATCTGTTCTTTTCCTGTTTGGAGCCTTGAGACCAGGAGTAATTGGGAAGTAGACTCCACAGGTCCCTTGTGCAAAAACATCCTTCAAGTTTTCAGCATTTGAGGCCTGAACTTGTACCATAGGACGCATGCCTTCAAAGCTACAAAAAGTGGGGAACCTTTTGCTCTCCAGATGTATTGAGTCTTAATTTCTAGAAGCTGCAGCCAGCAGATTAAATGGTCACAAGGTGTAGTGGTTGTATCCTAAAACATCCTTAGAGTCCAAAGTTCCTCATCCCAGTCTTTAAAAAAGAAAATTGACTTTACCTTTCTTTTTTAAAGCTAGATTCCCCCTTAAAAGGGGACAGTTCTCCTTTCCTGATTGTCACACTTAAAACTCTCCTTGCATGGATAGTACACTTCAAAATTCATCAAATGCCAAACAATAGTTGTCATTGCACCATCATGGAAGGAGCACACTCCTTGTAGCAAAGCATCTTAAAATCAGTGACTGTATAAACTCTATATTAGTGTTTCTCAGTCCCAGGGATATGCATAGCCTTATCTTAGAGACATGTGATTGCAGAAAGCTTGATGAAACTAAGTATCTGGATCTGGCCCGCATTTGGGAGTAGAGGCTACCCAAGAATTATGTGTGTTACTCAAGAGTTCCACAGGAGAAAAATGGGATATAAATGTAATAACTTGGACTTGTTACAAAAACAGCAGGGTGAAGTAATCATATTTCAACAAGCAAGTCATGCTCTTTTTCTAGGATGTCACTTGGTGCTGTCATCCCTCAATTTGTGTTCACTGAGCTTGCTGTGTTAGGATCCCTCCCAGTTTCGGATTTAAAGACTTTCTATGCTTCTGCAAACCCTGAGCTTCTCCCATGAATATTGCTACCATGCTAACTTTGCCCTCTTGTGTATGGATAATTATAAAAGGCCAGGTGTCCAGAGAACTGGGTTTGCTCTTGCTGATAATATGATGACCCTCTTTTAAGACTCTAGCTATTAGCATATGTTTAGTGGGTTTGGCACTTGGCTCTCTACTTCCATGCAGGATCATTTTCCCTTGTGGCTGCTGTGAATGTAGTCAGTCAGCAAGAGAATGGGTGAATGCATGATCTTTTCAGAATGGTTGCATAAAGGGCTTAGCACACTGCTCTCCAATGCCCTGCCACTGGCTGCCAGGATTGCTCACTTGAGGCAATTGCCTCACCCTGCCTATCATCTCCAGTCACCTTTTCTGTTGGAATTGGGAAGCAAGAGCTATTGAGGCCTACAAGAACCAAATATTTTATTAAGAAATTAATAGGATGGGAAGATGATATTAAAGGTATTATCTTTAGTTTGAAGTTTGCCTAGTCTAGGAAAAGCAGGAAGAGCCTTCAAGTTGTAAATGAACATATAGTATTTGAGCCTCAGACCGAAGACACACCCAGGGGTTACCTTGTCCTAGGAGTCCCTGGACTTCTGACCCAAAGGTAATCAGTTTGAAATCGGGGAGCGAGGTGAGCTTCTGTCTGTCAGCTCCAGCTTCTCATGTGGGGACATGAGAGAAGCCTCTCACAGGATGGTAAAACATCCAGGCGTCCACTGGGCAACATCCTTGGAGGTAGCCAATTCTCTCACACCAGAAGTAACTTAGTTTCTCGAGTCGCTCTTGACACAAAAATAACCTAGTCCTTCATACTAGGATTGTATTTCTATGTAAATAATGCTATCTACCTCAACATTTGTAGTGTCTTTATCCCTAACATTTGTTAGCCCTATCAGGACTTTTGCAAGATTGTTCAGAGTGAGTTTTCCATTGCTTTCCTTTGAGAATGAGACTTGCTGAGGTTCCAATGGTTCCCATGGCTGAGTACGGATCCCATCCTTGGTCTCTTGGAAGTCCTCATATAACGCTCAGAACTATATGCAAACAGACATATTTATATTTATGCCTATAAACTAGCAAACACAAATGCCATGAGAATCTGCATGTTGTTTTGTGCCCTCTCGCTTTTATTTTTTGCTGCTGTAGTTGACTGCTCTCACCTAGAGTGAAACACAGACATACAGTTTTTTTTAATGCTGCCTTTTGGCAATAGCTTTGAAACATTTGACATATTAAATCCTGAAATCAGAAACAAGGTAATATTTTGCTCCTTAGTCTAGTAAAGGGTGGAATCATGGGGCCTTTCTCAGCAGTGGCTAGATCTGATGGGAGATGTAGTCCAACAATATTTTGATGGCCTCAGCGTTCCAGCCTCTGATTTAGGAGCACAAAGTGCTGTGACCACGTGAAGCCCTGGCCATTCCCCCTCGATCTGGGACAGGAGAAGCTTTCTATTGATTATTGTTGTTGTTGGTATTAATAATAATAATAATAATAATAATAATAATAATAATAATAATAATATTATAAACACAAGATGAGTCCACAGCAAACAAGAGCACTCTGCTGGCTGTTGTGTTGGATCATACATGGGACACTTCCCAAGTGTCTAGGACTGTGTGATGTATTGATGAATAATGCATACAGATCCCAGTAAGGTGGCCTTTTGCAGCTGACAGGTAGTAATTTTGTCAGTGTCTATTGTGTTTAGTGTGCCGATCACCACTGGGATCACTTTTACTGGCTTGTGCCAGAGTCTTTGCAGTTCGATCTTTAAGTCCTCATATCGTGTCAGCTTTTCCAGTTTCTCTTCAATCCTGCTGTCACCTGGGATTGCAACATCAACGATCCGTACTTGGTTTTTTAACACGATCGTGAGGTCAGGAGTATTGTGCTCCAAAACTCTGTCAGTCT